ACAACAACAACAATATATATATATATTTATATATTTATATTTATATTTATATTTATATATATAGTAGTGTGTATATATTTGTCATTTTAAATTCTATCTTACAAATGCATGCAATTTTTTTTCGTCCCATTAATACATTAGACTAATAAGGCTTATCTTATAAATTGCAATTTAAATGTGATTGATCCCTTTGCTTTAAAAAATTAAAATACTAAACATGGCTAGATTTTGTTGTTGTTAACCTTAGGAGGAGCAAAGTTAAATCTTTAGAAACTGTTAAATGTTGAAATATAAAAAGAAAAATAATTTCCCTTAAGTATTTGAATATATTACCTTTTCCATTTTATTCATAGCTTTCAGATCATCTGGCTTTCAGATCCTCTAGAACATGAGTCCCTGGGTGACACAAATGGTTAAGTGCTTGACTATTAGCAGAAAGGTTGGCAGTTTGAACCCACCCAGAGATACCTCAGAAGACAGGCCTTATGATCTGCTAAGTAGTTGTGGTATCTGGCCCACAAGACCTAAAATACTTATACTCTTTGTTCTTTTACAGAAAAAGTTTGCCAGTCCCTTATCTAGAGAGAGAAATTGGAGTGGGAAACAAAATTTGAAGTTAAATATGAAAACCTGAAAAATGATGGCTGTTTTTTGCTTTTGGATTATAATAAATACTCCTGAAATTGCTGACATGATTCACTTAAAAGCTGTTTTGTATGTGCTTTTACTGAAATTGTTGAAGTCCTTTCACTTAATGTATATGGGCATGTGCTATTGATTTAGAACAGTATTGGTAATCCAAGGGGCCTAGAGCCCTGGTGGTGCAGTGGTTAAGTGCTAAACCTCCTAACCGTTCTGCTGGAAAAAGATGTGGCAGTGTGGTTCCATATAGATTACAACTTTGGAAACCTATGAGGCAGTTCTGGTCTGTCCTGTAGGGTCACTGTGAGTTGGAATCAACTGGACAGCAAATGGTTTGGTTTGTTTTTGATTTATTCTTAATCTAGGAAAAGTTCTACAGTATCCTAATACTGGACCATTTGTTGTGGCTCAAATGATTAGTTACTTTATTCACCAAATATATTTTTACCACATTTTTCTTTAGTTCTTTATAGAGTTTTAGAATACAAATTATTCATTATAGTTATATTTGCCAAAATTCTCATTCTCTGGCAAATGCCAGAGAGATCAGTATTCTATTCTTTTAAGAAAGCTGCTAATTGAAGCTCTGTCAGTTGAGTCTCTAGGTGGTACAAATGGTTAATGCACTTAGTTGCTAGCCGAAAGGTTGGAGGTTTTAGTCCATCCAGAGGCACTTCAGAAGAAAGATCTGGCAGTCTGTTTCGGGGGGGCGGAGAGGGAGGGGACAAAAATTCAAAAACCTATGGAGTACAGTTCTACCTCGACACAGAGCGGGTTGCCATGGATCAGTACTGGCAGCTGGTATATGATAAAGTTTGAAGAGAAGGCAGCAGCAGCCCTTCACCACCTAGAATTTATACTTTGTATATTATGAGACCTGTGTTTTTGATCCCAACAGTTCCCATGGTATGTGAGAATCATGAGCAACAACCAGAAAATACTGTCCTTTGATAGTTTTATAACAATATAGAGCCATTAATTTAGGTACATGTATTTGGAATGTTACAGTTGTTACTAAGTATATGAGAGACTGAAGATAACGTCTGTTGCCACCATGTATTTTCCTTTCTGAAAATCCAAAATGCTTTGTTTTAGTTTTATGAAGATTTCATCTTTCATAAAAAGAGTAGAACCAGGCCAATTTATTAGCAATAAATACATCCAAAAAACAAAACAAAAAACGTAGAACCTATTAGCACAGTGACTGAAGCATCTGACTGCTAACCAGAAGGTTGGTGGTTCAAACCCACCAGGCACTCTGGAAGCAAGACCAGGCAATCCACTTCCCTAAAAATTTACCGCCTTGGAAATCCAATGGGGGTCCCTATGAGTCGAAATCGACTCAGTGGCAGTGGGCTTGGTTTAAGCAGTTTAATGATTCTTTTTCCATAGATATTTATGGAGATAATTTTACTATTTTCAAAATAGCTCAGGATGCTGTGGGAGCACAGAAAAGGTAGCATTCAATCAAGACTAAGGTAAGGGAAGATGCTTCTCAGATGAAGAAACACCGTAATTAGGAAACGAACAGGAGTTAGGGAAGGAAAGGAGGTAGAGGTGAGGATTGAGGAGAGGTGTTTCAGCAGGCAGGGTTGGAATTAAGAGTACAAACCTAAGCCTGTGAACCTAAATTGTGTTTTTATCACTAAGCTCATTTGTATGTAAGCTGTTT